ATATTTTATATACAATTTTATATCTTCAGCAACATATATTTTGAATGCAATTTTATGCCTTCAACTACAGATGGCAATTTGGCAATGTAAGCCACATCGTCAATTTTACTATAAAAATGTATTGTTGGTAACCTTTTTTTATAAAAATGTATTGCTGGTATTTTTACTATAAAAATGTATTTTTATAACTTCTTAATGTTTTGATCTTTGTTGGTGGGGTGTGGGGTTACTATTTGTCCATAACTGGGGTCCTAACAATTGCTACCACCCTGGGTCAGAGTGGACCTTGGAAAAACAGCAATTATGAGGTGGCTCCATGCCACTCAAAATCTCCAATCTCCCAATCAGAGGCCTGGCTCCCAGATTGTCATATTGAAGTGATGTTTCAATATGACAATCAAGACCAATTACTTCTTGTTTTTATAATGAAACAAGTTGGAGGTCTTTTTTTTTTGTGTATAATAAAAACAGTACTTGAGTTGAGGAGGTTATAAAATCTGCTTTGCAGTATTTTTTTTCACTAATTTCAAGTGGACTCTGAACTATTCATTTTAAAACTGAATGTTAATTTATTTTTTGTTTATTTTTCACAAATATAAGTTGAGCTAATTTTAACATGTCACTAATTTGTTTTCAAGTAAGCTCCACTTGAACACCTTCTTCCAACAAACTGCTATTTTGTGGAACTGACCCCCAAGAGGATGCTTTCCCAAACACTACAATCTTCTTCAAGTCTTTCCCCACATAACTTCAACCTGTGCTGCTTAAATCTTCCTGTTCACGCAACAACCTATTTCAGTAAGCCTCGACCATGAGTGGCTCCTGAACCTTATATAGAGTGAATATTAGTCTTCAAAAAAAAAAAAAAAAAAAAAAAAAAGGTTTTCTAAAGTTGATGATTGCTGGTGACATAAAGTATTTGTATTTACAGAAACTCTTGACGTTATTAAAAACAAAAATGAAAAAAACATCGAAGTGGGCACATCATTAGTAATTTAAATAGTCCACACTAGATTTTCTTTAACTGTTTTATTTTGTATTAATTAACCCTTTCAGTGTGTAATTTTATTGTCATTCCCATAATAATGTGAATTATCAACCAAACAAAAAATAAATAACATCTACTTCACACAGCATAAGGAGTTTTTTTCAAGGCCGTGGGGTAAATCCAGTTAATGGTAATAAAATTTTGAGCAGATATATCCACTTTCTGCAGCAAAACAATTAACTTTTATTGTTCTTTCTCCTTAATAATGCTTTCTTTTACTCATATTCTCTCACACTCAGTAACCGTTCCTATCTTAGTGGTTTTATTGCCTTGCTTGGGGTGAAATGATTAAAAAAAAAAAGAAGTTTTTTACTAGAACAGAAAATGAAATTGGCAAACAAAGTTCAAATTCCAGGTGAGTCTTTCACGCTAATGTCTTCAGGAAAAGGATAAATCTGTGGCTTTTCCCACCATCCATGGGTTAAATAGCTGTGTAGACTTGCCTAACTTGCCTTGGATGGCAGACAAGTGTAGATGGACAACTCTGACGCCAAAATTGTAGAGAAGGCATAGGGGAAATTACTCTACTATGTTCCCCAAGAAGCCAGAGCAATTCACAGATAATAAAAAGAAATCTGTGGAAAGTCATAATGGCCTACATTGATGGGACATGACATTTTAAAATAAAAAGCTCTCTATTTTTAGTTTTGAAAATTATATATATATATATATATATATATATATATATATATATATATATATATATATATAATTTTTCATATAGACAAAAAACATTTCAATTGCACCTCGACTAGTGAAAACCAGTTTTGTTTCTCACCAGTCGAGGTGCAATTGAAATGCACCAAAACAAAGTTGCATCTTTCTAGAAAGTAAATGTTTTTGCCTATATGAAAAATTATAATAATTAATTATCGCTCTACTATCAGTATCAAGCCCTCTTTTGGATTAATGCGGTGAACATTAGAATTTATATATTATTTTTGTTCTCATTGCACTGGATATATATATATATATATAAATAAAAAGAAAGAAAAGTAAGGTATATAATCTGGTGTTCTTATAGATATATTTATTTTTACAAAATAGTGCTCAGTGTAAATTTACAGAGCATTAATATTATAAATTAACTGATTTAAAATGTTTTTTTCGCTACACAGTTCTAACCATGTTTCAAAAATGGAAGCTAAACGCTTCGAATTTAATTTTGTAATTAAATCAAAAACATTAGTTCCATTTCATCCTCAAGCAAATTTTCAGTTATTTTATATATATATATATATATATATATATATATATATATATAAGCAAATATATGGATATAGATCTGACAGTATGAAGAAAAATATATGGAAAATCAAACAAAAATCCTAATATGCAATTATATACTATATATTATTATATTAACATTAAAACAGCATAATTGCATATTAGGATTTTGGTTTGATTTTACATATATGTGGAAATATATAGAAAATAGGAAGGAACTGGTTAGGTAAATAATCCAAAGTCCCTTAGTATTTTAGTTAGATGGAACGGGGCCCATTTTACTTTCAACTCAATTTAATTTAAAGGATTATATTGAAGTTTTCGGCTCTTGTTTTGAAACATGAGACCTCTTATGTAGCGATTTGGAATCATATTTTTAAATAAATAATTATATATATATATATATATATATATATATATATATATATCTGTCTATATTTCTGAGATGAGGTATTGCAATTACTTACACTAGTTACAATTTTCAGACTGTTGTCCTCATCTTTATTGTCATATTCAAGGACACATAGCCCAGTGGATAAAAACTTTGGCTGAATCTAGTGACTCGATCCAAAGAGTTGGGAGTTCAATACCTGACTACAGCAGAAGTTAACAAAACCTGGAGAGTTGAGTTAAAAGGGAGATAACTGATACCAAGATATCCAGAAGAAGCATAGCACTTGGAACTAGAAGAATCTACCCTAGTGGACAAAATAAAGGGTTCAGTTCAAAATTCCAATCACCTGAAGTAGGTCAGGGCATACAATGGCCGAAACATCACAAATAGGGCAACAAAGATGAGGACAGCAGTAGAAACAATGTAAATAATATAAATAATTATATGTTTATGTTTTTAAAATTTTGGCTGAATAAAAGCCATACAAAGAATAGTAAAAATGTATCTTGGGAGTATACTTGATTTTAGCATACCCAAAATTTCTGCATTACAACCAGTGAATTACCACCCTTCAATTCTTTACCTCGCCTCATATTCTGAGTCCTTTTTGGATGTAAATATTTGGTATTATTTTACTAAGACACCCATCTCTCTGTTAACCATTTTATTAGTCATTTATTGGTTTGGTTTGTTTTATGGCATATAAACCTCAATGACAACTTTTTTTTTTCCTGTTAATATCTTGTTTTGTCAAAAATCTATTTCTGGTAATATTTTCTTCTTCAAAAATGTATAGTTGGTAATATTTCTTTTTTTTCAAAAACGTATTGTTGGTAATAGTTTTTTTCTTCAAAACTTTATTTCTGGTAATTATTTTTTACAAAGCATTTCTGGTATTAAAACCTATTTTTACACTTTCATAATGCCTTTTTTACCTCAGTTTCAGGGTTAACTATTTGTCCATAGCTGGGATCCTAACAGGTGCTAACACCTCGGGTCATAGTGGACCTGGGAACACTAGCAATTAGAAAGTGGTTCCACGCTCCTCAAAACCTCATGATCAGAGGCCTTGCTGTTGGATGTTGTAGTTTATCGTCTTACCCAGGACGCGTCATTTACTGGACCACAGAACTGTGCTGCAGTTCTTTAACTGGTTTTCAATGTTTTCGTTAGGGTAAAGAAACGGATGTAATAGTAGAAAAAAAAAAAGTTACTTTAGCCTTAATTTTAATAATAGCAATTATTTATTATTTATCCTGGTCTCCAAATTGAGATACAAGATCGGGTTTAATGTGGGGAAGCCGAGCGCGTATATCCGGGCCAAGGACAAAATAGCCCTGCCCCCGCCAGTTGCGCTGAAATTGAATGACTACTGAACTCTTTAGTGGAATGGTGACGGGGGTGCAGGCTCGGGCAGCTGTTCTACAAAACCTGACCCCTCACAGTATTTATTTTCCTCAGTTGCATCTCAGTTCGCAAACAGAGTAGCACGACTTAAAATACGAGGATGTATTTTTTTTTTATCTATATATTTCTCTACGTGTTATTGACAAATAAAACTAAAAGGTTCTGAATAAGAAGAGTAAGTACCTCCACAAAGATACTTTTTTATAAGACTAAGAGGCTAGGTAAAGAAAGAGTAAAGAAATAATTAAAAAAAAAAAAAAAAAAAGAATTCAGTGTTTAGTTACTGTTTAGGTAGGTACGTCCACTGAATTTTCGATACATAAGGTTTAAATGAATTTTTAAAAATGAAAAAGCATGTTTGAGGTGTTAAAATCAACAATACTACCTGCGTTTTGCAAATGACCGAAAGCAATTCAACTGTAAGGCACTGCGGGTTATCGATTTAATTTTAATATGTTCAGTCATTACTACCGAGTAATCAGTTCGATCCTAACTGGGTGCTCTGTAACCTTATGCCAGACTAAGCTAAGCATCATAAATGATAATTCAACAGTAATCATTTGGGACGCTAAACTACCACAAGGCCAAAAAATCGTTACTTTTGAGAACAGGTCTGGTCACTGAAAGACTTTTTTTTTCAGTTATAACACACTTCACTACACGATTATTGTTTAAAATTAAAGCATGATGTGTTATCTTTAGGTGACAAAACGAATTAATTTAAAGCGAAAAAAATTTAATATTTAATAAAAAAATAAAGATAAAATATATAAATAAATAATTAAACATGAAAGTAATTTTACAAGAACAAGAAAGACATGTTCGCATGAAAGAAAACAAACACATCACAATAGGACGGTGGATTTTTCCGTTAAATAAAATGCAAAGGAATGTTTTTAATTTGATTATTTAAAAAAAAATTACCTAGAAGTAAAACAGCGACAATGAGTAGCAGTAATAATCCTGTAGTTAATATTATCATAGATAAATCTCCTAAAATTGACCGGGAAACTCACACATCGTCTTACGATGGCCGCCGCCATCTTTACTATTTAATGTTAGCACGGAGAAAAATATCTGCTCCGAAGTTAATAAATTAAACAACTTAAAAAATTATTTAACATTAAAAAATAGCTTTGAAAGAAATTCTTTAAATACATCAAAAATTTTAAAAATTAAATAGAAAAAAAATTGTTAAAATTTATACAGTATCTTCTTAATTCATTTTAAACTAAAATTGAATTGTAATGAAATGCAGTCGTCAAGGTGACCCATCTTGCATGGGGAAAAAATGAAATCGTTAATTAGATATTACCAGTCGATGGTAACAAAAAAATTAAAAAAAAAAAAAACCAGGGTTCGAGCATGTTTATAAAAAACAGGATTTCGAATTCTGATTTGATTTAGTTAGATCATCTGTACTTGGACTGGCGCAACACAGTCTTTTTTATTTTTAAACAAACAACCATCCCGCCTGCATTTAGTTGGCCTTACAGAGGTAGTGTCATTTTGATTATCTGTAACTATCGTGGCTACTAAAGGCCTGTTCCAGGAAACCATCCTTCCAAGTCGGACTTTCTCATTAAACATCACGGGGGGGAGTTAGGGTAATCCTTGATGCCGAAGAAGCTCCTCGCAAAAGTGTGATGGCAGGGCTGGTACAAAGATCACGTGTATGTTACCCCCAAGCTTGGATACCCTCACCCACGCATACACTTTGCTGCGTCTCAATTTTCAACATTATTTCCATTGTTCGGACTGTTGTCCTCATCTTTATTGCCATGTTCACAACGTTTCGGTCGTTGTACGCTCCGGCCTTCTTCAGGTGATTGGAATTTCGAACTGAACCCTAACCACTGGGGTAGACTATTCTAGTTCCACATGCCATGCCTCTTCTGGATGTTTCAGTTATCTCCCTTTAACTCAACTCACCAAGTTTTTGGTCAGTAACCAGGTATTGAACTCACAATTGCTTTGGGTCAAGTCACTGGATTCAACCAAGGCTTTTATCCACTGCGCCATGTGTTCTTAAATAATTGCATTACCTCATCACAGAAATATAGACATATCTCAATTTTCATATTCATATAAAATACGAATTTTATTGCGTAACCTAATTATGTAATGTATCATATGCAAATAGATGAACGATTCAGCTAGAAAAATTGAAAATAAATACAAATAATCTAAAATATACAAATTAGAATTAAAGACATGTCATCATTCCATCTTAAAACAAGCAATGTTTTTGCAGCAATTTTAACATCAATTTTGTAGAGTAAAAATGAAAGGTCTAATTAGACACTGGAGGACATATGTTATCTCCTCTGGTGTTATATAAACTAAACAGCTGAGTGACCAGAGGCCAAGGGTAATTTTGTATTTAAGAAGGCTGCATGAATATTTTAAATGTTTCGCTGTAAATTAAACATGCAATCCACAAACATAAATTTAAATTTAAAAAAAATCACATAATAACAATATTCAATTACGACAAAAAAAGTATGTATGGAACAACAAATATATATTTTTTTATATATATACAGAATATTACAATTTTGTTTTTTAAATATGTGTGCGAAAGCTTGATCAGAGTATTTTTAAAGAGAAATGTTCTCGTTGACGTTGCTAGTTTGGAAATAAACACAGAAAGTAAGTTAAAGTTGTCTACCTTTAACTGCAGAAGTAAAATTTAAATTAAAAAAAAATCTTGTAAAAGATATTCTAATGGAAAAAGTATTGTCACAATTAGTTTGTCGAAATTCTTGGTGAATTGTGATGTAGAGTTTGTTTCAAATCTTTTAGAAAAGAAGTCTGTTCCAAAAAGCAGTCTCTGATGAGCAAAAAAATTAAATTCTCTCTTGACATCTCTCTAAAAGTCTGTATATCTCAATTGTTCGTAGAAACTTCTCTCTGATTTATAGTTTTTTCATTGACTAAATCGTATTTTTCTATTTTTTAGTCAATAGAATTAATGAGACATTTATTAGGAGAAAATTAGAGAAAGAATTTTTCAAGTAAGTTGAGCCTACTTTGGCACAAAAAAAATCAACCGACTTGCACTGGAAGTTTCTGGAATTTATTGTGCATTTATTAACCAATCAGAAATGTTTAAAACTAAAATAAGGGTTACTAAAGTATCATATTCGTACAAGAATAATGTAATTCAGAACTACTACTACCATTGTTGTTATTTTACAAACTTGTGATTTTTCTTGTTAAAAAGTTGAATATTTTTAACATGTTCAGCATTAGGGATAAAAATAGTGAAATTCATATAGTGTTTTTTCAAGACTTTAGCATTAACAAAAAAAAAATTCACAAATTTGTACATAAAAAAGGGACCCTAAAATAACGTCAATATTGTTATGTAATGTGGAGGTTGCAAATCCTTTAATATTCTGTTGTGCTTACTTTAATTTATAACATATAAATGTAGGTAAAAAAAAAAGCGACTGTTGATAAAATCGCGAGTGTCACAAAGCACTGGACCCCTAATCAGGCTTCTCTCTCATTCAGAGGTAGTATGCACCAGCCCTGTATGGTGGGGAACATGCAGAGAGTACTGTACACTATCTGGCACCAGTAGCATGTATATGCGCTGGACTCCATGTTACACCTATCATTGTGAGTGAATGTGTGGCGGCCTTCACCACATTTATTTAATTTAGATTAAGAAACCAAACTGACATGAAGAAAAAAAGATAAGCCAAAGACATCATTACACTTAAAATTTGTATTTAACAAGATGTACAAAAAAGGATGTGAAAGAAAGGCATGCATTGAATAAAACAAGAGTTGTCTCTCTTTAACTATCAATTGTTCCAAAGTTCACTGTACGAAATAAGGTTGTAATAGTTTCTGGTAATAAATGTTTTCAACAGTTTTGCTGTGTAAAGAAAAACATTATGTGAGTATAGGGAATATTCAACATGTGAGTGAGAAGGTTGGCGCATGGTTTCAACTGTCGTGGATTTCTGTGGCAGCTGAGAACTCAATATTTATTATGTAAAATTACATAATTGTGGTAAAAGGCCGAAAAAGAGAATAGGGGTTTAGGCTAGTCCATACTATCTCATACCTAGCTAATCCGATTCACGACCCATTCACTCATTACAATTTTCGCATTCACCATAAAAACTCGACCGTCACCAATCAATCCTTCAGCTGGCAGATAAGAACTCAATATTTATTACATTTTAAAAACACAATTATGGCACTAGGCAGCTGAGAACTCACTGGTTTACTAAGAATTTTCTTTGCTTATATAGGTGATCATCGGCTCCGAAAGCGCTGCGCGAGAAGAATCACTTTTCACGTGCGGACAGTCTGATTGGTTGGCATTGATTTGTACAGGGTTATGATAGCTACGATTTGTTTCATCGATCCTAAGGTAACAATGACTCTAATTTTGGAAACATGAATAAAAACTCACATAAATTTATAGAACTAACAATGACAACAATTTATCAGGAGAAACACTGGCACCGTGGAAAAGAAAAAATTCGTTTGTAGGGATGGCGTTTGGAAATCGTCTGATTTCGATCTTCACGGAGCCCTGGCCAGACGTGTGTTTCTGTACTGCTACTTGTCTACTGGTCATTTTTTATAATCACGAGGGTTAGGATGATGACATATTCTTCTTTTCTATCATCACTGATGACAAAGTTATTTTTAGAATGATTGAAATATCATCATCATTCTGGAAATATAACAGACACATCTTTTAAAAGCAAATGTAACAAACAAACCTAGCTTATTACAATATTTATGTTTTATCTTAACTTTTTTGTTAATCATTTAATTTACATTTGTTTGTATATATATTTTATATTCTTCTCTTGTCGGGTTATCTTTTCCTAATTTTCGAAACCGCTACTAGGGGACGTTTTCCGGACTATAAATACTCAGCGATATCTTTTCTCACCTTCTTATTTTTTCCGTTTACAAGTCAGCATGTAGCCTCTTGCGGAAAACGCATTCTCTTTTGGTAAATGCATGAATAATACACACACATACACAAGTATGTGCGCACATTCACTACAAATACTTTGGACTAAAACAGTTTTTATATTCATTTGTTACACATATTATTGTCTTGTTGCTTGTATGCCTTTGTTGTTAATACATTATTAGATGTTTGTACATATATATTGGTCATTTCTTTACATTTCTTTACGTCGACTTACATCCTGAGTCTGCCATGTTTGTTATGGGCATTTTCAGGAGACACACGTGTTTATCTCTCAACCCATATATCGTACGCAACACCCTCAAGAGAAAGAGCAATAAACAAACTTAGTTTAATGTATTATTGTTTTATTATTTTATATTCACCTTTTTTATTATTTTACATTACTTTGTGGCGTACACAAATGTAAAATAAAATATGAAAATAAAATATTAAAAAACATCAAATTAAAACTGTCCTTAAAAATCTACACCTCTCTCTCTCTCTCTCTCTCTCTCTCTCTCTTTTATCTCTCCACTAATAAGAAGGCAACTCTCATATAAAAAGTTAACTTAGCCTGGAGATGTATGCTCATTGGCTCCTTTTATTTCTGTGCCTATTTTCTTTAGTTTAATTAATTCCCCTTCACTCCCTTGTTTAGGTGTACAGAGATGTCAGTTCTCTGGTGGATGCAGGGCAACTTTCGTTTCAGGTGTGATTTTCATATTTGTTGTTGTTCTGATGGGGGTCAGCCTGACTGAGGCGCCTGAGCAGTGCATTGTAACCCTCGCTATCTACCTTTCCTTTTGCGACTTTTGTTCTCACTAGTGAGCAGAGCTAGCTGGAGCGTACTACCCCGCATTGTAACCTTCGCCATCTTATCAACATTTGCATTTTTCTACTTACATTTATATATGTTACAAATTAAACTAAGCACAACTGACTATTAAAAAATTTTGATGTCATTCTGGGGTCATTATTTTGTTCAAATCCATAAATTTGTTTTGCTCATGCTATTTTATGATCTCGCTACAATTTTATTTTATCAATATCAATCTTTGTACAAATCTGTGCAAAAAGCGGATCACAGAGCTAATTCAGCGTCATACACATTCAGAAAATCTCAACTTCTGATTGGTCACTTAATATTTAAATCATGTCCGAATAACATCGACCTAGTTCTTGACTTGACCAAAAAATAATTCCGCCAAAATCTGTCAATGCATTTTCGAGTCTGTCACGTGATTACGTTAATTATAAATACCAGACATAAATTCGTTCTTCCTCTTCCTTGATTTCTCTCGCTACAAAATGTGGTTGTAAAAAAGGATTCACGTCATAACCACGTGCGGAGAGACGCTTATGAAAACAGATTCGCACACGCACACATACACGTACGTACGAAACTTTTCAAACTTCATTACGTCCGTTACAAACTTAATGACAAGCAACGGAGACTTAATTACAAACATTACGGAACATTCAACCCTTCTGAAGCTAAAAGTTTACTTAAGATATTCTCAGCTTTATAATTCTTTCAACGCTCTCACAGTAAACATCTTGAGCGGCAAGTTCATTCAACTTTTGTGAGCTCGGAAAAAATATTTCATTAGTAAAAACTTTAAATCAGTCAAAGGGACATAACACCAACAAAAATAGTAACCCCCTATGCTTGTACATCATTATACAAATTATATTATTAATCTTGTTGTTATAAAACCGTTTTGTGTTCCTTCTTATCGTTTTTCTTGTTGCTTTTGCGTTCGCTTACACATTCGTAAAGTAAAAAAATGTACGGGTAAATTTAGGGCGTCAATACTGCTAAACTATGTAGTGTAACCCGGATATAAGAGACCCGGATATAAGAGAAACCCGGATATAAGAGAGATTTTCTCTGGTCCCAAATTAGAGCTTGTGTTAATGTATATAAATTAATTAGACCAAACCCGGATATAAGAGAAACTCGGATATAAGAGACTTCTTCTCCGGTCCCGACAACTCTCTTATATCCGGGTTACACTGTATCGAAAAAACAATAAAATTCACCATTTTTTATCCATAATGATTGTGTTAAAAAATTATTCAGCTTTTTAACAAGAAAAATCTTCAGCTGATGTTAAAAATTGTCCACAAAAACATTACTGATTTACTTATTTAATACTGAATCATCTATTATGTCTCTAATTTGTATTTAGATACATTGTGTTTATTTTCAATGTTTCTAATTGAATTGTTCACCTATATTGCATATGATCCATTATTGTACATAACTAGGTTACAATAAGATTTGTATTTTCTATGAATACTGCCTTCTGAAACTTGAGAGGTAGTGGAGTAGACTCTGGGGTAATATCATAGATTGGTGTGTATTATAGATTAGGGAACGAGACATTTGCACTGGCCTGGCTTGTGAGTGTCAAATTCTCCAAGACATCTTCTTCATTATTTGCCCCAGAAATTTCAATTGTCTCTTTCTAGGTCTTTTTTTATTTTTACTCTCCTTAAAATTTCATTGTTTCTTGCATGTCTCCCAAGGATGTGGGATACAAATTCAACTCTTCAATTTCAAAGATTATTTCCAATAAGTAGTATGTTTACTTAATGGTCGTAGAATTTAAAAACTACCTGAGAAAAAAAAGATGAAAACAAAATATGAAATAAAAAAATGGTCTGAAATTTAAGCAACAGCTGATATTTGAACCAAAGTGTTTAGTTTAAGGCAAGGATGTGCGATTGAATCTCATCTGAATTAACTTTGTTCTTAAATTCCATCCTTTCTAATATTTTTTACAAAATACAGCACAAAGTTTGAAGCATTTTTTGGTATTTTCATTCCAAAATTGAAATAATTTATTATCATTTCTTTTTAATTTATTTATTTTTAAAGTCATTTCGCCACCGAAACGAAAGCGGTTTCGTAATCCGTATTTTACATTTCGCTTTTTGCCTATTTCCGAATGTCAGTTTCACGTGTTTGTTGTTACCGGTGTCTTGTTATTTTGTTCCTTTTTTTAATGTCTGTTTTATTTATTTTTAAAAGCGACCTTACACGTGTCTTTTTCTTTTCATATTTCGGCAGAATTGATGGATGATGACTTTAAGGTTGTGGCACGTCCGAAACGTCGGCAAAAATTCTCCAAATCAAAACTTTTACAAATCCAGCAAACGAGGCTCGTATCAGAAAGTAAACAAGATGAAGATGAGGATTTGACTTCTTCAGTTGAATATATTTGCAAGACATTACGAGATTACAGGTTCGTGTGTTGTTTTTATAAAATAAATAAAGCTGATTCTCGCATATGTAATCGAGTTTCAGCACGACTTTAAAAAAAAACCCCAAAAAACTGTCTGCTCATAAAAAAAAAAACAAAAAAAAAAACACGGAAAACTTTTTGGGGAAAATAATTTTTAGATTAATAATTTGTCAGAAATCGAAATTTAAAAAAAAAAGTTGGGGGATGGGTCATTATATTGAAACATTGTCAAATCGACCCCTGACTCTTTTTTTTTTTTTTACAGACTTACAGGTCTTAGGCTAAATCTGCTTCTTTTTCTCGATGTGCTGTGTGTGTCCCTCCAGGTGGTAGGCGATCAGGGCTCTCCACAATTTCCTGTCATTCGTAGCTCTACTTAACTTTGTCTTCCTGTTATTTCTTCCTTTGTTCCACTATCCATTTAGTACTCAAGCTCAATAGGTATGTTATCTGTTTTACAATTTTACTCTGTCCCTGTCCTGTGAGTATCATATTTTCCAAACCCTCTTTGCACCCTGTCGGTTGGAGCTTTAAAATATACGCCGACTTCCACTCTTCAGAGGATAAGACCCCCCCCCTCTCTCAATGAAGCGTCCTGGGTATGATGATAAACTACATCCGGCAGCAAGGCCTTTGATCAGGAGGTTTTGAGGAGGGTGGGACCACCTCTTAATAGCTGGTGTTCCCAGGCCCACCCTGGCCCGAGGTGGTAGCACCTGTTAGGGTCTCAGCTATGGACAAAAAGTTAACGCCCAAACTAGGGCCAAAAAACAGTATGAGAATGCAAAAATAGGTTTTAATACCAGCAATACATGTTTGAAAAAAAAATATTACCAGCAATACATGTTTGAAAAAAAAATATTACCAGAAATACGTGTTTGAAAAATAAATATTACCAGAAATACATTTTTGAAAAAAAAAAATATTACCAGCAATTAATACCAGTTGGTATTAAATAATCAACTGAGGTTGGCATGCCATAAAACAAAACAAAAGAAACCAAACCACACCAAGCCCTCCTTCCTAATTATGTGCCCCAGAAATTTTGACTGTTTCTTCCTGATGTTAAGTATAAGTTTCCTTTTTGTTTCCATTTTCTCTAAAACTTCATCATTGCTCATATATTCGGTCCATGGTATCCTCAGCATCCTTCTGTAGAAATTTCAACTGTCTTTTCCTGATTTTAAGTATAAGTTTTCTTTTTGTTTCCCTTTTCTCTAAAACTTCATCATTGCTCATATATTCGGTCCATGGTATCCTCAGCATCCTTCTGTAGAAATTTCAACTGTCTCTTCCTGATGTTAAGTATAAGTTTCCTTTTTGTTTCCATTTTCTCTAAAACTTCGTCGTTGCTCACATATTCGGTCCATGGTATCCTCAGCATCCTTCTGTAGAAATTTCAACTGTCTCTTCCTGATGTTAAGTATAAGTTTTCTTTTTGTTTCCATTTTCTCTAAAACTTCATCATTGCTCATATATTCGGTCCATGGTATCCTCAGCATCCTTCTGTAGAAATTTCAACTGTCTCTTCCTGATGTTAAGTATAAGTTTCCTTTTTGTTTCCATTTTCTCTAAAACTTCATCATTGCTCACATATTCGGTCCATGGTATCCTCAGCATCCTTCTGTAGAAATTTCAACTGTCTCTTCCTGATGTTAAGTATAAGTTTCCTTTTTGTTTCCATTTTCTCTAAAACTATGTCGTTGCTCACATATTCGGTCCATGGTATCCTCAGCATCCTTCTGTAGAAATTTCAACTGTCTCTTCCTTATGTTAAGTATAAGTTTCCTTTTTGTTTCCATTTTCTCTAAAACTACGTCGTTGCTCACATATTCGGTCCATGGTATCCTCAGCATCCTTCTGTAGAAATTTCAACTGTCTCTTCCTGATGTTAAGTATAAGTTTCCTTTTTGTTTCCATTTTCTCTAAAACTTCGTCATTGCTCACATATTCGGTCCATGGTATCCTCAGCATCCTTCTGTAGAAATTTCAACATTCTCTTCCTGATGTTAAGTATAAGTTTCCTTTTTGTTTACATTTTCTCTAAAACCTCGTCGTTGCTCACATATTCGGTCCATGATATCCTCAGCATCCTTTTGTAGAAATTTCAACAGTCTCTTTCTGATTTTAAGTAAAAGCTTCCTTTTTGTTGCCATTTTCTCTAAAATTTTGTTGTTGCTCACATTTTTGGTCTATGGTATCCTCAGCATCCTTCTGTAGAACCACATTTCTGTTGCATCAAGTCTCTTCTTCATCTTTGAGAAGATTGTCCAACATTCTCTGCCATATAGAAGGACTGATATCATATAACTGTTCAGTACTCTTTTCTTTGTTTCTAACAAAATTTTCCTGTTTCTTAATACTTTGCTTAGCTTTTGGAAGATATCTTTTGTTATCCCAATGTGCCTTCACATTTCAGCATCAGACTTTTCATCCACTGTTAAAACACTTGACAGATATTTAAATTGTTGTACTTATTTGATTTTGGTATCCCCAGTTTGTAATTTGCATGTTGGGCTCTCCCTTTTGTTAATGACCACGCATTCTTCTTGCAATTGATGTTTAATCATTTCTTCTCACTTTTCTTCATGACTTTCTGTTGAATTTTTTTAGGAGTTTTTTCTTTTTGCTATCGATACTGTGTCATGTGCACATGTTAAGATTGTGGCCGCCAATAATGAATCCTCCTCAGATTTGTAATTCTCTCAAAATTGACTCACTTTATAGGTTGAATAGGTCTGGTGAGAAGATACATTCTTGTCTTACATTCTTTTCTATTTTCATATATCTGCTGGACTCATTTTCTATCTGTTTGCCGGCTAGTTGCTGCCAGTATAGGTTCTGGATTATTCTAAGAAGTTAAACATTGTGAGATGTTAATGAAGGATATCACTTGATGCTGTTAACTTATCCCCATCTTGGTAGAAATATTGTACAGCACTGCAAGGCCCACATGGCTCACACACCAAAAAAACACTGTTTGTTAACATTAATTTGTACAGTAAAAAAAAAATCATAAATCAAGTCATCGTAAAGCAAGGGGCCTCAGTAAAGACAATTTTTCCTTTAACAAATTTCTTTGAGACAATATGAATTTTGGTAAAAAAACGAAATTATTTTTTTACAATATTAAAAAAAAAAGGATATTTCCCAAATATAGAAGTAATACCGCTTTAATAGTCGGTCGGGTGTTCTGAAAGAAAATAAAACAGAATTAAAAAATGATTTTTTAATTTTTTCTTCTTTTTTTTTCAACAGGATCATTTGAATTTGTTCATCAAACCTTTCATTTTTATTTCTATAATTTTTTTCTTGAATTCACTGCTTGACTTGTTTGTAAATGCTAAATCTGTATTATAAAAAATCTATATCCAGCAGCAAGGCCTCTGAACGGTAGATCAGAGGTTTTGAGGAGCATAGTACTACCTCTTAATTACTGCTGTTCTCAGGTCCACCCTGACCTGAGGTGGTAGCATCCATTAAGGTCCCACAATAGTGAACTCGCAAACAAAAATCAAAACACTAGAAAATTATAAAAAATACATTTTTATAGTAAAACTAGCTGCATGGCCTGGTGTTGCCCATGCTTGATTCAAAAATCATACGACTCATACAGCAATCGCTATCATTTGACTTAAAATATTTTTGCCCTTCCTTGCCTTTAAAGGAGTGCCCTTTGCCATGCTGATGTTGCTACATGCCTTACTCCTTGCCTATCTCACACTACAAATTTTTTCTAAGCTCTATACTAAACATTAAATCTGTTATGAGAAAAGAACTAAACAAAATGAACACAAAGCAATCAGCTTTAAAAAAGGACTCATAACTGGAAAAACCGAATGAAAAAAGAATGTTAACAACAAATACTTTTTCACACCCAACCTGGTTCTGCGGAATCAGAATCAATGTTGAGTTTAAGCAAGCGAATGAGCCAATTGGAGTAAAGTGCCATGCAGATTAAAATTTTTCCCACTTGTGATGAATGCAGCTATCAATTTTTTTGCATGCTAGTTAACATTCGTGTCAGTCAGCTGTTGGCTCCCACGCTGGCCAATAGAATCTTCCTGCCTATTCATGGCAGCCAGGTATTGGCTCTCACTCTGGCCAGTACAAAATGGCCGCAAACTACATGAAAACTGCCGTAGAAGCATGAAAAAATCAATTATTTCCACTATCGATGGGAGTTGAGAATTGCAAAGTCAGTCTTGGCCTTCCTGCTTACTTGGAGCATGTGCATGGAAATTTTTGTACAAATCCGTGGAAAATTGCGGCCGTGCATTCATTACACACACACACACATCCTGCCTTTTATAGATAGAGATTACCAACAATACATGTACTATTTTAATAAGGCTTCAATTATTTTTAACCTTTTTTTGCATATAAATGATGCTATTATATTCGTGTTGTCAACAAGCCTTATTGATAAAAACCAAAAAATTAACACTCAGTAATATCAACTATGAACATGGACACAATATCTTGACCATCTTTTAAAAAGGAAAACATTATATAAATGCATACAACAATCTATTTCTTGTTAACAGTTAATATATTTCAACCTTGAAAATGGGTAAACGTTTTGCCGAAAGCGCTCGGAAAGAAAGAACAATTGAACAGTTTTTACAATTTATCATCCAAAAAGAAAAAATTATTAGATCACATGAGAAATTGTATAAAAAATCAAATCAAAGCACCTTGTCTGTCATATTCAATGAAACATGCATGAAAGAAGGACTGCTGGCTAAATACATGCACACACATTGAATGCGTTAGATGCTTTTTTAAGAGATTTAAGCATTTTATAACTGGGATATTAGTTTAAAGTGATTTTATATCCAGAATGGCCATGAGTTTATCAGTTAAATTTATTTCCCTAATCTTTTCAACAAGGTTGCCTGAAATTTATTATATGTGATGGACTTATTTTTCTAGTTTGTGGGCAGTGCTGCATATTCTTGTAATGATAGAGCACATAGGGACATCCTATAACTAAAATAATAAAAATATGTCGACTCATTACCAATCAATGGTTTTGCACATTCGATATCAATTTTTACAAAAAAACAAATTTGGATTGCCAGTGAGATTGTCTCTCAGTAGAATTATGACATGTATCTTCTTAAAATTTCTCAAATCTGGTGCTTTCCAAAATATTTTATCTAAACAATCAACTTACTTCCAATACCTTGATGATGCCTTATTAATATATCCCTGTAATATATATATATATATATATATATATATATATATATATATTTTTTTTCGAACCCCCACCTAAATTTATGATAAAAACTATACCATTGCTTATATTTTAGAAGCATTCTAAAATAAAGAGCCCAGTACTTGCAGAAACATAAAGACGGTAAGCCCAAAGGGATAGGTAGACTTAGTGGCGACAAAGATTAACTAGAATGTACCCTTTCTTTCTCTTTTGGTCAACGTGTTGACAGCATGATTTACATGGATAGGAAAAGTTGAAACACTTTAAACTTTCTCTGATGAGAGATGGGGGTCAATGACCTCATTTTGCCCACAGTGGGAAAAAGTTTGTATTTGAAAATTGATCATGTGACAAAAAAAAAAAAAAAAAAAGAAACGAATAGTGAAACGAAAAAGTTAGTCTTGTCCTGGCCTTAGGGCCGGATGGACGTGTTTGTGAAAAATACAAGAGTTTTGTTCAGGCCGAACAGACGTTTTTGCGAAAACCGAGAAAGGATCCCACATTTTCTTTTTTTAGACCCGTGGTTCACCTATATGCTACAAGTTCATAACAATATATATATATATATATATATATATATATAGATAGATAGAGCAGCAATTTATTGCTCGCTTACTTAGCATGAAGTCACAAGTCATCGTGACTGTGAATGTCCTCATGACAAGTTCTATGAGAATTAAATATCCATAGAAATTCCTCTATCACATTATTAAGCTTTTGAGCTTAATAATTTTAACAAAATATTGCAATAACAATCATGAATATGAATGCTCATCGTTATTTTAAGAAGTAAGGGGATACAAATGAAAAGATTTGAAATTGACAAATTTTTCCATTTCACCAAAACAGCCGTTAAACAATTTTCTCTTCCTTTCTTCTTTCTTTCATTCATTTTCTCACTAGAACCAAGTAGCATATGTCTTTTGTTTTTCTACACAAACAAAATAGAATAGTTCATTATTTATTTAATAGGTGTTGGCAGAAGACATTAAATACATCTTTCTTCCCTGTGAAAGCCTCATCTTATGAAAATTTCTCTTAATAATAATTTAAAAATAATTCAGCAGAAAATGTTATTTTATTTATGGTAACTGGATCTTTTGCGATTGCCTTACTCTGTTTCCATCATTCAGTACTGTGCATCTGAAAAATGGCACTTTTATCACGGTCGTCCTCACATCTCAACCTACTGGTTAAGATCAAAATGTAGTATCTGTTTTTATCAGCTTAATCTAATTCTGTTTTCCACTTCTACCTTCCCTTCTTTTTTTAATTTATTTTCTCAATGAAACCAAGTAGTGTCTT